GGAAGTTTTAGCTCTGAAAGATACCCCGTCGACACGGTGCACTCTACATGTATATATTAATGCGTTTACATGCATGCTAGCCTGAAACAGTGCTTGTTTCTTTTCCTAAGTAGGTCAGACACCCCCTCCCACTCCACGCATGCCACGAAACCTCATTGGTGGAAATTTGTGTGTCGGGGGCGGCTGTTCAGAGCACTGATGTAAATGACCTGTGATTGGTTTTTCGTCCACGAGGTATGTCTGTGGCCTCGGGTCGCCCATTTCCCATTCCAGTCTGCTGACCGGCTCGGACAGCGGCTGGGGTGTGGGGATGGGAAGGGAGAGTGAGGTCGACGTCTCGGCGCACTTTCCTCACTATAAACAATCTGACGCGCTTGAAGCTATCACGGTGCACTAAAAGCCGTGGCTTGGAAGGTTGCCAACTGACGGGGTAACTTGGACCTCCTCCTTGACTGAAGGCGGTCTGAGAGTCAGGCTGCAATGGCTCCTTTTTTATGTGGCCTTTATGGCACTCCCACCACAGTGTGGGATCCGAGCCAGGCGTTGGCGGCACGCCTAGGTGCGGCTTCGGCCGTGCCAGCCTCCAAATCTGTCTTGTGTTGGTTGAAATCCTGGTTATTTGTTGTGTGGACCAGGGGGTGTGGTGGAACGCCAAGGTGAGGACCCGTCCGAGCCATTCACCTGCGGCCTCCCTCGTCTCCGGTCTTCTTGACTCTGTCTTGACACCGGGCTCAGGCGGGGGAGGAGGAGAGTGCAGGTAGATGCAGCGCAAGTCTACTGGCACTATAAACCCCTGCGCAAGTCACCGTCCCTGCTCCCACCGCTGCTGCAGCTGTGGGGCACACGGTGGACATCGTCGAAATCGACGGTCGAACTGTCGTGTGGCCTCGGGTGAAGGATCATGTGTGACTGTGAGGTATTCTGCAGCCGGCCACTATCAATTGACCCGACAAACTCAACGCCGTATAACGCAAATTCACCTATTCCGAAAGTGGACCCATGGTATGAATGATCGTTTCGCGTCCGAAAGCCGTCATCAGTACGTCCCGTCCCGAGTAGAGAGAGCATTAGTTTCAATGTTCGCTCGGGTAGTAGTGCAGTCCGACGACAGGCTGTGTTCCTGCAAAAGCCATTGTCGGCACTTCATGACGGCGTGACTTCCAGGGCCAGAGAGACGGAGTTTTCTGGGCAGTCTTTATTTAGCGAGTGTACACGCTGTGGCTTTCAGGGAATAGGCACGAGTACGGAGTTAGTTAGAGTGTGTGGTGATTCGGACGACGGTAAAATGTGGTTATGTAGCCGCACAATACTGTTGGCCTGCTTAATTATTTTTAGTTGGTGTGATCACGTTGGTATGGTGTTGCTGTGCGTGGCGGTGTGTGCTCTGTTGGCGACCTTTCTTTGTTGCCGTGTTTACCTTCCTTGGTCCAATGCCGGTGGTCCTTCTTGACCTTCGGCCTGTCATCTCCTTCTGGCTTTCGCGTTGGATGCTTCAGGGTTAGGGTTAAGGGTAAGGGTTGGGGAATTAGGGCTTAGGGTTGGAGTTGGGGCTAGGGTTAGGGGGTTATGGTTAGGGGTCAGGGTAGCTAGTTCTCAACCACTCGAAGTACAACCGCACATCCCAAATAGCTTTCCTTTGACATACAGTTGCTTGACCTCGCCGCCTGTGCGTTCCCCGGCCTCACCTGTAAGTACCCTTACTACCATCGGTCCCGTATGACAGGTGGGTGGGGTTTGTTTACCTCAGATGGGGCTACATAACCACATCTAACCCGGGTGACCCCCAAATTCACTCATGTACGCAGCCTCAAAGTGGCCTTGGCGTGCGCGTTAGTGCTGGTGCTTGTGAAGCTTGTGCGTTTGGGCAGAAAGTCCACAGTCGCATGGAAGTGAGGTATCAAAAGCCTCTGCCAGCCGTCTTTTACGTAACCTGTCTGTCCTTCCAAGGCAAGGTTCCAGTCAGCGAGCAAGTGACTCCCGTTGCTTTTTAAAGGTTCTTCTTGACACAAAATCCTACCACCTGCCTTCGTTTTCTTACACAGACCCTGGCTCCATTGAGGACCGGAACACTCCTCTTCGCTGATGTGTCTTAGGTCCTCATGTACGAGTCATACGCCTTCGACAAGTGTGTGTCGCCGGTGATGGATTTATGAGGGCGTTCGCTCACAGAAGTGCCTCCTTTTGTTACGCTGAGAAACATCGAGTGAGCGAGGTCGTTCTCTTCACCTACGATTGAAGTCAATGCCAGGAGACACTGGGGCGAATTCACATGCTGTACTTGATCATACTGCCATATATTTACTCGTGACCGGTCTGACGAGCATTTAGTACATTTCCCTAAAATATTTTGAATTACTAATTGGCAAATGATGACAGCTTTGTAGTGGGGTCGTTTTAAAGTTTTGGGCAACTTCAAGTCTCCGCTGGATGTTTAAATGGCCAGCCGAAACTTAGTTGCCCTCATGGCGCGTCCACCAGTTGTGTGGAAGATACTACTGACAACGCACTCGCCTCGAAGACTTGCATAAAAGCCGACTCAATCTGCGACAGTAGAAGTAAAGCGAGTCATCCGACAGTTTACTGTCATCATTATCTCCTCGGTGAGCAGATTGGACAGGGTTTCAACCACATATTCCCTATTCGTGGTTAAATAATCGCTTTGCATGAATGACTTGCGAGGAAAGAGTTGCTCTTATCGCGCTCTTTGCAAGTCTCCAGACGAAGTTCCAAGAGCGGCCTTCACCGCCAAACTTCTGACCGGATGGCAACGGTAAAAAACTGGCTAGATCGCAGTTGGTAGCCAGGAATGGGGAAACGGACAACGAACTTTACCCTAACCCTAACCATAACCTCAAACTTAAACGTTAACCGTTAACCCTAACGGCAATCGTAACCCTAATCGAAATCGGAAACGGAACCGTGGTCCTTAGACATAGCCGTAACTGAAAAACCTAATCGTACGCTTAAACCCTAATCGTAACCCGAAAACCTAAGCCTAAAGGCATAAAACTAACACGAAAATCGGAAACCATTAACCGGTACCCTAATCCTAACCTCAAACGTAAAACTGGAGCCAAACGGGTCAGATGTGATTATGGAACCCCACAAAATAGCCCCAGTAAACAAACCACGCAACCACCTGTAATACGGGGGCTGGCTACGAACTGCGATCTAGTCAAAAAACTTTGTGCGTTAAATTTGCCGTGATGCTGAAAAGACTGATGGTAAACAAGTTTAGTGCGAAGTTTTTTCTGAGTTCAGCGCCATTTCCTTTTAAGAAGTCCTTCAGAAGCAATTCGCTACTAAAATCGACCTCTCCACCTTTGGAGACGCTCTTGGGAAGAAAGCCTAATGTTCACAGTCCTCTGGATTGTTGACTAGCAGACCCATTACTTACTCTCTTGAGCTTTTGAAGTCGGATAGGGGTTCATCATCAGATATTACAGCAGCAACAAGCCAAGTGGCAATTACAGAGGTCGTTAGCCATTAAGGACCCGTTTGCTGTTCTAGAGGTGGCTACACAGAGCTTTGTACGCGATTGCTAGGCCAGTACCTAGATTGGCAGAGTGTTCATTCGAGGTCCAGGCTTCAGTCGAATTTCGGCTTGTCTTTTTTTCCAGCATGGCCAAATATCTCAGGGGCTGCAAAGTCGAACTCGTGACGCCTTTGGTGGGTGATGGCAGCCACTTGCAATAATTAGTTGCTGCGTCGCACAGCCAGTTTATGCTCGCGCATGCACGACCTGTGCACGGGTTCAGTTTGGCCTCTGTACTACCCAGGGCAATTTAGGTACGGTATATGTTTAAGTGAAGACGAAGGGTGATCGAGCACCGGGACACTTTTTTATTGTCCTGAGCTTTCGGGCTCGTGCAGGAGTCCATCGTCAGAGGTAGTAGCAGCAACAGAACAAACGACAGTTATAAGGCATTTATGCCAATCATCGACCGACGGTGCAAGACTGGAGGTGAACGCGCAGGGCTCTATGCGCCGGCGCCAGATCGATAAATCGATTGACTGAGTTCTCATCCGAGGCCCAGGCTTCAATAAATTCTCGGCCTGTTTTGTTTCCGGCGTGGGCGAATATTTTGGTGGCTGCGAAGTTAAACTAGTGGGGCATTTCGTAGGTGTGGGCGGCCACTTGTGATATTGCGTCGCCTCGTCGCACAGCCAGCTTATGTTCGTGTATGCGCGCTCCGAGCATGCGTCCAGTCTGGCCTGTGTGGTTACAAGGACAGTTTTGACACGGGATGCGATACACCACTCCAGATTGCTCTTCAGGCTTTAACCGGTCTTTCATTTTCATGACCCTGTTGCGCATGGTGGCTTTGGGGCGGTGTATAATTTCAGCACCTAGCTCCGCGGCAATGCGCTCGGTCGCTTCTGAAACGCCCTCGATGTATGGCAGAGAATGCCATATCGTCGGTGGTGTTGTTGTTTCAGTCCTCTGGGGCGACCGCGTAGACGGCGAATTACGGTATATGTTGCTGTACACCAGACTGCCGCCCACATTCTCGAACCGGGTAGCGAATTCAACTTCTCAGTCGTTATGGTAGTCGCTCACACCGAAAGCAAGCCGAGAGTTGCTTTAACCTGGGCCTTGGATGGGAACTCGGCCGATCGATGTATTGAGTTAGCGTCTGCATGCAAAGCCCTGCGCACTGGTCGTCGATTGGTTACTGATACTCTAAAACTGCCACTCTGTTTTTACGGTACTCTCTGAAGATGAAGTTATGTACGAATTCAAGAGCTCAGGAGAATAAACAGATGGCTCGTCACCGACTGGCTTGCCATGGTGGGTAGGGAGTCTGTTCAATTTACCTCTCTGCCAGATCGTAACCTCGGGCGACCAGGTGCAATTCCAGTAAACCTTCCGCAAGTTTCGCATAAGGCGTCACCGAAATCGTCCGGTTGTGGAGGGTGAATGCAGGGTAGTAACGACGCCATTCTGGAGTGCTCACAGGCAATGCAAGGGGCTCTGGCCCTCGTCTTTGGTGTGTTGGATGGTCCCAAAGGATGACAACTTTTCCTCCTTCCTTTACAATGTACCGTCACTGCAGCTGTCTGATGTAGGTCTCTTGGAATCAGTCATGCGCCGTGTACACTGCTCCTCTCCTCCTCCTCCTCCTCCTCCTCCTCCTCCTCCTCCTCCGTCCACCCTGCTCCCCTCTTTCACAAAACCCCCGTCAGCGTCGGCTGCCCACGTTCAGGCAGGAGTGATTCAGTGCTCCATGCCCAGCGACGGTTGTTTCCTAGGTCTACACGCCAACCCTCCTCACTGTGGCGTCCACAGCGTTGACTTGCGCTCGCCAGTTATGGGGGGCGGGGCGACGCAGGGTATTGCCTCCTCATTCACTGGTTCCCCTGCTCTTTGCGTCTACGTTTCTCCGCCGTCTGCTGTCCGCGCCCGTCCGTCGTCGTCTTTGCCAGCACCAGTGGGTGACGCATAGTCACGCACACGCGCGTCCGCCCTCTCTCTGTGTGTGTGTGTGCGGTTTGTCTGCGCGCGCGGGCCACACGACAGCTAGGTCGTGCACCCTGACGCATACCCTACGGCGAGAGGATGGTGGCGATGGTAAGTGACACTAAAACGGACCACGCAGTGCATGCGCTGGACCAACACTGAGGGGCTCGATCGGCGTCCGGTAGGCATTATTGGGGACGCGCACCCATAACAAACGCCAGCATGAGGGGAGGGGGGGGGGTCCGACGGCATGCCTAGCTTCAGGCTCGCGTCGCCGCATTTGAGATCTGAGCCGCTCAGGGAGTGTGGTAGGCTCTCGCTGTGCCAGCCAGCCGCACCCTCTCCAGCCTCCGGTCGCCTTAACTCTGGCATGATACCAGGCCCGGGTTGGGGATGAGGAGTGTGTGGTAGATGCGGCGTAGGTCTGCTATCATTATAAACTAATTCAGACGCAAGTCACTGTGCCCGCTCTCACCCTGTGGTGGACATGGTTGGCAACGACGACCGAACTGTCGCTGGTATAAAAGAAGACGAAGGCACGATTACTGTCCCAGTGATCGTGCCTTCGTCTTCTTTTAAACATGAACCTGGGATGCGCATATTCTCTTCCATTCGTGTCACTGGTATTTCTGTCTGACGCCAGGTAGTCAACCTAAGGTGTAGTGTAGAGCGTGGGAGCTGTGCAAGGACACGCGTTTGTGGTTTTAGTGCCGTACAAGCGCAGTGTAGATGTTGGAACGCCAGCTGCTCTCCACGGCTAGTCGATCTGCTCGTGATTGAACGAGTACATGCAGTCCCGTGCCCTCAAAACGGGCCACGTGTTAGATGCGCTGGACCAACACGGGGGCCACATTGGACTCTGGCAGGCGTTATCTGTGCGCAATAACAAATGCCAACATTCCCGGGGTGCGCTGGCGGACCCTGTTGTCGGCATCCGTCGCACAACTGGACCACTGCCTCCACCCCATTGTTTTGTGGTCAAAATCCTGGTCTTGGTGTGTGGACCAGGGGTGCGGAGTGGAGCGCCAAGGCGAAGATCCGTCCGAGCCATCCACCTGCGGCCTCCCCCGTCTCCGGTCTTCTTGACTCTGTCTTGACAGGCGGGCCCAGGCGGGGGAGGAGGAGAGAGTGTAGGTAGATGCTACGCAAGTCTACTGGCACTATAAACCCCTGCGTAAGTCACCGTCCCTGCTCCCGCAATGCAGTCTGTGGGGCACACGGTGGTCATCGTCGAAATCGACGGACGAACATGCAGTCCCACGACGGGGTGAGGAGGCAGAGTAAAGTTGGAAGCACCTAGCCGAACGCGTTGAGGTGGCCGCAACAGGCCTTGACGGCCGAACCCCGCAAGGACCGACAAGCAAAGAAACTGATTTACAGTGTGGTACGTACACTAACTGAACAGGGTTTCGACGTTCAGGGGATTGGAGCAAAGTTAAAATGTCGAGGATGGCGGTGGATAAGGTCATCGTCAGATTTTACGGCATCGCATCCGGCTGTAAACGGTCTGCACGCATTTAAGTGCCAGGCCCCCAAAACGGGCCCGGCGGTAGATACGCTGGAGCAACACGAGGGCTAGGTCGGAGTCCAGCAGGCCTTATCGTGAATGCGCACTCATAACGAAGGCAGCAACTGTGATGGCACGTTCACGAGCAGGCTCACGAGGCGATCATCGGGATTCGTCCCACCTCTCTATTTTTGGTGTGGTATAGAATACTGGCCAGTGTCTGTTGTGGACCAGAAAGTGTGGTAGTACGCCTAGGTGCGGGTTTTCACCGTGTCAGCCACCTACGGCCTCTCCTACCCCCCGAGCTCCTTGATTCTGCCGTTACACCGGGCCCAGGTGAAGGAGGAGGAGGAGAGAATGCGGCAGGTGCTGCCCAAGTCTACTATCATTATAAACTAATTCACACGCAAGTCACAGCGCCTGCCCTCACCCTGCTGTGGAGCCCGCGGTGGACATCGTCGGCAGCGACGGTCGAACTGTCATCACGGCGTGGTGTTGTATGAACGTGATAGGTGATAGGCAGTGCAGCGAGGTGACAAACGCCAAGCAACCTGTGGTTAATAAATTATCAACGCACGGGAAGCAATTCGCGATGAAGACTTTTGAGGGGACCCACTGTATAGGGGGAGGATAGGCTGCGGGCCGTGTGAAACAGGCTAAAACAAGCCAAACATGCCAAGTGGCAAGCAGCGTGAAGTTTTAGTCAGACCTGTGAGAGGCCGTGGTTAAGGTTCTATTAGAGGGAGGGGGAAGGGGAGGACGATAGAGAAAAGGAGGCATCTAGAGTAAACTATCTGCTAGGTCGCACAAAGTTAAATCTCGCGGCGTTCCAACCTCTGGTTTCCATTCCCCTATTCAAGCGATCAAGAAGTAGCTAGGACGACTATCTGCTCTTGTGCGATAGAGGACGCGGGCGGTGACGGCGCCATTGAATACTGTACCCTTCGCAACTCTCACTTGCCCCAGGAAGTGTTCAAAATTCCACAGGATTATTGCTGTCCTGCTATCGACGTGACTTGTCGTAACTGCCGTCAACAGGCTCCACACAAAGGTCTTGCATGAACTGGTCGTTCAACCCTCGTGGACGACAGTGTCCACCGCGTGCACCACGGCATGGAGACGCACGACGGTGACTTTCACGTGAATTAGTTTACAATGATTGCAAACCTTTGCAGCGTTTGCCGCACTCTTGCCTCCATCCTACACACCTGCGCCGCGTGGCAAGGCAGAGTCGGGACGCAGTGTCTGACAAAGCTACACGGTCCTTTTACGCTCGCCGCACGCGATCTGGTCTCCACACGGTGTACCGATCTTTCCCAAAAGAAGGGCTGACTCAGATCCCATCTGAGCGGGGGCGCCATAGGGGTCGCATTAAGAAGTAACCGTTATTGGCCCCTTATTGGGGCCACCTTGCACACAGTGCACACTGGGGGCTCAGAGCAGGCGGCGGAAAGGTCAGGAGGTTGAACCAAAGACGCGTTGTGATAGTCGCGGATTTGAGGAGGGTACATATGTAAGGCAGCGGGGTCGGCCGTCGAGCCCAGTATCGTGTCCAGACGACGAGACACCTTCGGGGGGAAGAGCACTGTTCAATCAGGAATGGCCGCACTGTACTGTGTCATTCCACTCGCCTTCTCTGTCCTCCCATCCCTTTGCTAAGGACCACTGTGTACAAATTAGAACGTATGAAGCCGATTCCGCTCTTTGTTTCTTGATATCACTAGAATTTCTCATAAATCACTGTGTCTTATATAGACGCAATATCCGATTTCCAGTTCCAGTAGGGGTCAACTATGAGCCTTCCCCACTTATGACAGTGTTACTTTTCAGCGAAACACTTTTAAACGAGCAACCGTGACATGTAATACTCACCAGCGTAGGAAATCACTCAGACATTAAGAAAAGTCTGCTTTTGCTTAACATGCTTTGTTTTACTTTCGTAAAGAAGGGACTTGAGGCAAATTCTTCTTCAGAAAAAGGTCTCAAACACCCCGAATTAATTTAATAGAAAAAATTACAGAACTGCTTCCACTCCATATTACTCATTCAAGTTTCCGCTATGACACTTCAAGAGTTGCGTCACTGTAGGTTGAAAGCGATGCCCAAGGAAGATTTGACCGGACAAGGATCCGTATCAAACGCAAAAAGAAGGAGTGGTTAGGAGAAAACAAGTGGATGAGATATACTTTTCTTCATCCCCACCTTTTGCTCCCCTAGAAACAGTCCGGAATTTTTGCCGGCTTAGGGTGCGACATTAGGTTGAGGGTTTATACAGGGTTTAATTGTAGGGCTAGACTATGCGCCCGAATTGGCCCGCGCATTCATGCGTTCGAATTTTCATTCGTACCCAGTACTAGGGACCAGGGTGGCCAATGTTTAGGG